AAAAGTTAGCTCAAAAACTAGACATGTTTGCTAGCACATACAATATGTTGACATAGTGCTAGAAACTACCATTAAACTTTGTTACACAGAATACAATTACTTGAAGGAGAAACTTTTAACTTATATAGTATGCAGAATAAGGTCAAATGTACACTTGGCTGTCCAATATATTGTAACCAGAATTTGAATAAAGTATCAGATAGGTCCATTAAATGCAATTATACTTTTGTTCTGCTGTTTGGATAGCCTCTATTTCAGTTCTTGTATTTTAATCTTGAAAAATGTTTTTTTCTTGCAATCATTAAATTTTAAGCAAATCGTATTGTGTAAATTAATATCGCAAAATTTGTATCATTTAATTAAAGATGCTTGTAACTCGTAACAGTTTGCTAAAAATTTTAAAAGGATTACTATTTCAAACAATAAAACTTAGCTGAAAATGTTTAGAAAAGATTTAAAATCAGAAGTAGTATTTTTATTTCTTGATTTCTTTCTTGAATGATGCCAGTGAAAATTATGTGATTTTTTGAATTGGGTTATCTTTCATATAAATTTCTAATTTTCTCGCAAAACTATAATCTTCTATCGGTGTCATCTGCCCATTGTTCTTGTAAGACGTTAACTTTGTAAGGAAGCCTCTTTTGACTTCAGAGTTCTGTGAACTGAGGAGAAGTTGAAGTTGGCTGAGATAGATCTAATGGATGAATTTCATTATCAGTGAGCATCACATACTTTCTGTTGACTACGGATTTTATCTCCGCATCCAATCAAAATTAAAATTTCAATTCCTTGTTTTTCGCTTAAGCGTGCAAACATTTTTCAAAATAATTCAACAACAAATGAAACTAAAAAGACTCACGTTATACCTAAGGTACTTTAGTGAATTTTATGTGTTTATCGATGTTTTTTGAAGGAAATAAGCTTTAAAGTAAGTAGAAAAGATTAATAAAGAGTAGGTACGTTTTTTAAAGTACAAAAGAGACTATGATTGTTTAAAGTAGTCATCAGTACGAAATAAAAGACAATTTTTTACATTTTTTTGACAACTATGCCAAAAAAGTAGGTATAACCTTATATGGTATCGCTGAATTCGTCTTTAGAAATCTATAAATATAGAGGCTCCTATTAAAAAAAATGTCGTTACATTTTTATGCAGACGAGACACAGGTATAATACTAGTTCAAGAGATGATACACAAATTTTCTTCAATTGCTTACAACGTAAAACATCTAATTTTGCGATATAGGCCAGTCATTATAGCTTTTTTTCGGGAAAAAAATACTATTAGAAGTTTCTCTGCGGAATATTGTTCAGAAACGTGTTATAAACAAAATATCAAAAAATCTACTCGAGACTAGTTGGGAAACTTTGTTAAAACAGTGGTCAAAGTTATGGAAAAGTGGTTTTTTGACTCGCGTAAAAAAACTGTTATCCATAGAGAAAAAAGGTTTATACAAAAAAGGTAGGTATTAAATAAATCTGTAAAATAAGACAATTCCGATTAAAATCCGGTAATTTGTTTATGCGCAAAGGCTCAAAACTGGTCGAAAATGTCCGCTTTTTTTAATTGCTAATAATTAATACAATTTTCATCGCAGACACTTGTAATTCAGGATTTTTGAGGCTTTTTGCATCCTTAATAAGTGGTAAAAATTTCAGCCCGAAAGCGTCATTAGCTTGGCGTTGGCGGAATTTGCTATCTAAGAAGATGCTATTTTCAATTCATTTTTCCCAAGCTCACAGGCGTTGTAGAGTTTCGATCATTAGTTGTTTTTGTACCTAAATAGTTGTATGGACATATGCATTTACTGAGAATTTAATTTTTCAAATTTAATTTGTTTAAGAATGACTGAAAAAATGTTAATATTTTTTAAATTGTTAAGCGCGCATGCTCCGCCTCGCTCTCCCCACTCGTTCGCTAGACCAAGTAACAGAACGTATCGCCGCTATCTTCTTTTTCCCAATTAAATAGTTGAATTCACCTTAATGTTAATGTAGGACATGAAAATATAGCTCTTAATGTATACTCTCTCCAAATTTCGGTTCTTTATATTAATAATTAAGGTCACTGCAATTAAATAAAAAAAAATATCTCAGCTTCTAATCAACTTTCGATTTTTTTTTAAATTCGAAGAAAACTAAAGTATAGAGGTTACTATTTTATTTTATAATAATTACCTATCTTAACAATTTAATAAATATTAACATATTTCAGTCATTTTTAAACAAATTAAATTTGAAAAATTTAATTCTCAGTAAATGCATATGACCATACAACTATATAGGTACAAAAACAACTAATGATCGAAACTCTACAACGCCTGTGAGCTTGGGAAAAGTGAATTGAAAATAGCATTTTCTTAGATAACAAATGCCGCCAACTCCAAACCAATTAAGCTTTCGAGCTGAAATTTTTACCACTTATTAAGGGTGTAAAAAGCCTCAAANTGAACAATATTCCGCAGATAAACTTCTAATAGTATTTTTTCCCGAAACAGGCTGTTTCATGTCTATAATGACTGAGCTAATAGGTCGTCTAGATTTTCATGGGCAGTAAAAAAAATGAAGATAAAATGTAATTTTGCAACTTATTGCAAAAGTGCAATAAAATGGCTACTAATTATTTTTTTTAATTTTTAGATTTTATGATTTAATTCGACTGGAGTATACGAGTAAATCAAAGTTCTGATGTATTATTTAAGGGGCTTTTAAAAGGAATTTTGACTAGTTTCTCCCCGCAAGTTTGTTGCGCTATTTTTTTACAAAGTACCTATATAAACAAAAAAGTTTTTGTTTCGTTAAAACTTTCGCCCAAATTTAATTTCGTGCCCGAAGCACTGTTTGTTGTTTATACACGTTCAACCTTTCATAAATATATGATGACCTTATAATCACATTCCTTCCCTCACACACGTGATAGGTGTACATCCAGCGACCTCCGTTGTGGGTTAAGTACTGCCCATTTGTGGTTAATATGCGGAGTCACGGACGGTCGAGAGTAACTTTTACATAATTGGACCAGTTAGTATGCTCTGTACATTATTAATAACAATATTCTGTTTCTGAAGCTGCTGTAGCGGCAGCACTATTAAGCAAGTTGTTGATTGAAGAGTTGTCAGAAGCTTTTTAAATTGTATAGATCCTATGTTGCAGGATAATTTAACATCCTTTTACTGAAAAACATATTTTTTAACATATTTTTTTAAATCGAATTTTCACACGTTTAGATTTTCTTAAAACTATGTGCAGTGTTTCAAAGCTTGTCAATTTCTGTTTCAAATAATAAGTTATATTTCTAGCAATAAGGGAGTTATAGACAAGAGAGTGTGTTATAAACGTGATGTATTAGAAACAGATTATTTTTTCAATTAATATGCAACTGAGTTTATATTTAACAAGTGCTATACTTTTTCTTGATCACGAAGGCTTGAAAAAAATGTAATCAAATTTCCAGGTTCGTATTTGAAAAAAATTAAGTTGATGATGGTCCTGGAGAAACGAAACGTTACATATAAAAATTGATTACGCCCTTCGATAGAGGGAAAAAAGTTGGCATGGGAAAATGTTCTTTTTTCAATAGGTATCACCTCAAACAATGCGAAATTGAAACAAAATTTCGTTTTTTTTCAAATAGTTCGAAAACTAATCATGTTAGCCTTGATTTTTTAGAGGCATAATGTTGGTTCCCTGATTACGCAACTTTGCCCTCATTTAAGTTACTTCGTATCTCTTACCGTTTCCGAGATATCTGTAGTGAGAAGCGAATTTGTAACAGCCTGTGTGTGTCACTTAAAAAAATGTCTTCTGTAAGTTGATTATTTGTGAGGCTATGCAAAAATGTTGTGTAAATAGTTTGTATGTAATGTAATATACAAGTAATATATCATAATATTTTTTTATCTTTTCCTGTCATTATTTTGTAATATGGCGAATGCGCAGGTAAAAAACAAAATCAAATATTCCTGCAATAATTCTGTAAATAATTTTTTTTGCTGCTGTAAACACCTTCTTTCCCTCTTTTCTAAATCAATTTATTTATTACGTTTCTGATATACATTCAGACGGTACATCGACAATTAATATTAATCTCAACATATCTAATTTATAGAAATTTTGTTGGCATTTCTGCTGGTAGTTCTGTGTCGTCATTTATTCCGTTAAAAAATAAATATAAACTGATATGGATATCTAAATTCTTGGATAGTTGAAAAATTACACCACATTGATTTACTGTTACTTTTTATGTATCAAAATTTAACAACTACACTTTTTTGTACACCAAACTTATTAGCTATGGAGTTACCCTGAAATACCCTTCACATAACAAGAAGTATATTCTGAATTTTATCGAACAGGTACAAATATCTGTCGAATAAGAATATCGTTCCTTCACTTCCAAGATTTGTAATTTTTTTAGTTCAGCTCGTTTATTGTTTATTATTGTATGTATACAAAATACAAATAATGTAGGACATAATTTTAAGTGAGAGGCAGTTTTGATGTATTCTCCAGAATACTAATCCAAAATTAACTTTAAAAAAATAGTCGAGTTATAATATGTTTTTGCAACTGCACTTAAACTATTGTCTACTCCGTAACTGGACTGTTCCTGAACCATTAAACTAAACGTATGAAATTAACGGAATGTTAGAAAGTGAAATCGTGATGGAACATAACTTTGTAAAAACAGATACCTTTTACCACTGGGACAAGTCGTAATATTTTTTTATGTTAATGTGGACGAAATGCCAAACATTAAAAAAATTTTCGTGTTTTTCAAAATTGCTTATTGTTACGTCCAAGTTGTGAACTTTACAGTTAAACTGAGAGAAATATAATTTAGCCATTAATAGAAATTAGTTAACCATAACAAAATATATGCTTTAGCTAGGCTCCTGAAAGGTTTCTATGCTGTTATAATAAAAAACATTTTGTATATGTATCATACAAAAATATTCTGGATATGTTATCTTAAAAATATTTTTTTTGTCTATTTTAAGGTGGCGGGTTCTGAGGTCAAAGTAACTCCGGACATGTCTACCGCTATTACTAATGGACACAATACCAGTACGGAAGATTTCACCAAACATGTTTTTGGAGGTAAGTTGCAGTTATTTTTTTTTATATATATGTATATATTTCGCGAAAAATGTACAACAAATACAAAAACAAGGTGCAAAACTGAACAGTTTTCAAAATACCATATTTGGGCAGTCTTTTTTCTTATCTTCAGACTTTCGCTTACTTCATTCATATTTACGTCTCATATTATCCTTTTCGTTGAAGCTTCCTGTATTTCTGTTATGTGATTAAATTAATGAAGTAACCGCTGAATTGAATCAACATTCATTAGTGAAATTTCATGTTACGACAGCGAAAATTCATCTATTTCATTGTCATTTTAACTACCCGTTAATTCTGCTCTAAATCAACTATCAAATAACATTGTTATAAGCTAATGGGACGGAACTATTAGAAATAATGTAATTTTAATGGCAGGTTCACAATGGCAGTAACATACCTACAATTTGATTTTGAGGATTGTAACTATGTAATGTTTTCATTCAAAAATTTTCTAATAAAATATCAATGCAATAAAAAATATTCGATAAATTTTGAATTAATAATTAAAATTAATAATATAATGATAATAAGAATGAAGAAAGAAACAAATGTATAATCAATGATTTACGTACTTTCAATGTACTAGAAAATATACAAAGGTAAATATTTCGGAGGCGTCACAAAAGTATATGAATATTTCCTATACGTTCGTGGAATTTTTGAATTCTTACTTCGAGAATCTATTGGACTTCAGTGGCTATGGTATATACCAAAAAAAAATAATTCACTCAAAAGTAATAATATGAATAATTTTAAGAGAAAATTTGAAAATCACTAAAAAGGATCAGCCACGGTTAATTTTCTGAAAATAGTTTTACGCAATCAAAAACACTGAGAAAAGCAGACAAATAAAAAATTAAAACCGAGAATGACGTCACGTTTTTATTATTAGTAGTTGTTCTTATGAATTATGATATTAACAATTGTTAATAATTATTCAAAACGATAAAAAATAATTTAAATTGAATGATAAAAATAACGTTGATTTTCAAAACTTCAATAATTTATTAAAATGAAATATACAGGGTGTCCCGGTACTTGATACATAAAAGTCGAGTACAAATAGATGAGGTCAAAATAATGTCAGTTTTTCATATATATATATTTTTTTCATGTGGGCCTTCGTTAATAAGTTACGGGCCCTCAATGGTGAAAATTAAAAAGTTATTTTTATTTACAGTCTCTAAACTATTAACTTCAGCATGATGCAAATGTGGTGATCGATAAAACATGTGTATAACTTATTTTTAATATTGTGAAACTTCGTTATGCCCAAAACGCAAGGGACGGACAATACTCAATGGTTAAAAACCCAGAATTTTTGCATATATGGCGATCGCAATCTGCCTGTAACAAAAATTAGTTCCCTGAAGAATTTTCCAACGATAATAGCCTCTTGGTTCAACTCGGTAAAATTAACAGTTTAGGAAATATTTGTGATTTTATGTCATAGTGCACATCGAGCAGCGCGACATAATTACTATGTTAGAACCGTACATATTTTTAAAATAAGAGCCTAGAAAATCTTACTGTTTGCTAATGTAATTTTCACTAACAAAATTTGACAAACACACTTTATACATAACATAAAAATGAAAGACAAAAAACAGGAATAAATTAAAGTAAATTAAAAAAATAAATTAAAAGAAAGAAAAGTATCAAAATTCATTTTCATCACCACACACTTCGTAAGTCTATTCTGCCATTAGAATTGGTATAAAAAAATATTTTATAAGAATTCTAACCTTATTTTGGTTTGGTCAATTTTTGTACGCTTACACTGGGTCCTATAATTAGTTTTCAAGTTAGTCTATAACGATTTCGTCACACTTAAAGTATTGAACTGTAACAATTATTTTTCCTTAAAATTAAGCATTTATTCAAGTAATCTTATAGCTTAACAGAATTTTACCTAACTGAACATTAAATGTGTCGTAACAGTCATGCAGAACATAACTAATTTATTGTGCCGTTTAAGTAAATACCTCTAGAGATTAGATAGCATTAATTGCCGACAATAGAAGATTTAAGAAATATCCTTTAAGTGACATTAATGAAATTGAAGCAATCCACTGAAACTGTTACAAGTCGAATGACTCTCTTAAAAACTTTAGCGACTCTGGGTTTTATTCCATTATTTAATTTTCTTGATGCTACAGAACCCTCCAAAATTAACAGATTAATCTCTTGATATACAGCATTTACGAACATTATACTAACAGTATATAACTTCTCAGTCATTCGCAACAAAGAAGTTAACTTTAACATCTGTACAATAAAACAGTTTATTAAGAAATAAAAAACCAACGTCTCCACGATAAGTCCCATAAACTTAATGGTTGATGAATAAAAATAAAACATTCCAAAGCATTTTACTGGATTTCAAGTAAATTAGATGTGGGCAAAAAATAGGGTGTTTACAAAGTTGGAAAGAATATTTTAATGGTAGGTAGTAATACTTGTTTTCAATAATCAAAATCATTGAAATGCAAAACGGCGTTTAACATTAATAACAATAAAACAATAAAACAATAAACTTATTGAGAACCTGTGGAATCGTTCGTTCCCTAGCTACGTATTGCATAAAAAGAAGTAAATTGATTTGACTGTTTTTATAATACATTTGAGAACTATTTAACGATTTCTAGTAGCAAGAAAGGCAGTTGCAGTGAAGAAAGTTACATTTCTTTTATTCAAAAAATCTACAAGTATTTGTATTAGATCAGAATTATATCGAACTGAGTAATGATAAGAATGAATACAACATAATATCGTCCTAACTATATTCATTTGCAACATGATTAGCATTTATACAATTCACTAATCCTCTATAAAAACATGCAGAATTCGAAAATTTAATAAATTTTGAACTATTAGATGATAACTGATACAGTATATTTATTCTATATGTTTAAAGTTCGGTTCTGAAATAGATAAAATAACATTTATGCGGACAACAGCCCTACATAAACAGGAATATATCTACAAATCGGTGTTCACGATAAAATCATTATTAGACCGTAGGTTTATATAGTATAGTAAATAGCTAATATAATAACTACGGTCAACAGCAGTTAAGTTTATCTAGCTGTTGCTGGAAATAAATATAATAATTTCGGTAAATTAAGGTGGTTTATTACAGAAATAAGGTTCATTGATGTACTACAATTTATAATATACATGTGTTCAGGAATATTTAAGGAGATATTTGTTTGGTGCTTATATTTCACATCTGTATATTTGAGTATGATACAATTTATGTCGATAGTAGACAAACGGCTAGATGTCTCAACTATACAGGATGTTAGAAGTTTGACTGCCTTAAGTTATGAATACAATACGTACAATAGAATAATTAAAATAAACAAAAAAAACTTATATGACATGGGTCCTAAACTCAACCATTTCCGAGAAAAAAATTATCAAAATGTCCAACTTGTACAAAAGTTCGATTGGTGTGCATCAGCTGTGTAGCATTAGGTTAAGCGCTGTTGTCACGTTGTGACGAAACTTCCCAATATTAGAACTCACTTCATTTTGAAAAGTTAATCTTACACCACTGTAATATACAACTTTTTTGTTCATTTATGATTACTCTATCTCATGCTAATGACAGTCAGACTTCTTACACCCTGTATAACCTACAGAATAGCTGTTTCCCGCAATATCAGCAGTTAGGGGACTTGATTGTAGGATTATACATATTTTGCATAAGTACTTTTGGTACCTATCGAAGAATATTGTTGACTCCATCTGATAGGATTTTTTTTTAATTTCTGAATTTATTTTCCTGCGCCTAAGCCTTAACATCACATTCAGCGGCACAGCGAAAGCACACTCTAACCTTCAGAAAATTTTTGCAGGTCTCTTTTTGCAAGTTCATTTGTTTTTTTTATTTCCTTCAATGACTTCATGTCTTGGCATCCAGTATACCTTGAACGTGTTGGTACCTGCCAATTCATTTAGTAGTTATAAGTGATAATAGTTTTTTCTTCCCTTTTTAAAATGGATTCATTAAATGTCATTCATTTTTAGAAAATGAAATTAGATGGTCATAAATTGCACGTACTATGAAGTACCATAAAATTGATTAAGCCTAACTTACCTTGGTGCAAAAATTAATAATAACAAACATATAGGCAGTCAAAGATAAAAAAGTTGTTTTTTCCTCAATAATTTTTGACGCATTTAGATATTTGGACCCAAAACCGATCTACCAGAGCATTTTTTAATAAAACGCTAAAAAATCGACTAAAATAGGGCGAAATGGTGAGGATAAGATAAAGCTTTATAATTTATTTTTACCATAGAAGATTTACCACCCAAAGAAATGCGTTATGAATGTTTAAAAAATTGAATCATTTAAATAGTGAGGATAAGATAAAGCTTTATAATTTATTTTTACCATAGAAGATTTACCACCCAAAGAAATGCGTTATGAATGTTTAAAAAATTGAATCATTTAAATAGTGAGGATAAGATAAAGCTTTATACATAATTTATTTTTACCTAATATGACGGATTGGAAGATACCAACGAAATTGGTATGTAGCACCCAAAGAAATGCCTTATGAATGATTAAAAAATTGAGTCATTTGAGTAAAAATTGGCAAATGTCTAAAAATGAGAAACAAAGAATATACAATCGAGTTGCAGGATACTGTCTCAAATACTCTTACCAGTCCCGGCAAGGAAGTATAAGACGCACAAAATGAGTTAGATTTTAAAGTTAAAACTGTACCTAAAGACTGCAGTAGTAAATCGATATAGTGGTTTTTAGTTCTTCAGGGGTCCAAATACATACCATGGGCCCAATGCGAGGAACAGACCACTTTTTTATACTTTTTTTGTCACACCACATTGCTGATCAGCACTCGTGGAATTCCCTTCTAGAGTTCTCTTAGCGTTTGGGACACTATCACACAAAATGCATGCCTCTTCAATCCCTTGCGAGATTTTTTCGATGGCTGTCACGATATCTTCCCGATCCCTTATCGTGCATTAAATGTCATTGATCGACGTTAATCACTAAGAGGATATATTCTCGGCATAATTGTGAAACGACTAATTAATCAAACCGTCCATCTTCCACGCCCCAGATTGTTGTTGTCGTTTCTGCCGTTTGCTGCTTTTGTCTCTGCGGAATGTCTGCTATATCCGACGTTAATTAATCTCGGAAAAGTTATAATGGGAGCGAAGGGTCATTAATGCGACACATTATAGGTGAATCGTTGACGAAGACACTGTAGGTGTTTATAAAATTAAATAAAGAACAACTTACATTTTCAGCGTGATTGTATCGGTTTTCTGTTTGATATTAAGGTACTTTTATGATGTTCTAAAAATGACTGACCTTTAGCGAAAGCTAGAGTAACTTAATACAATGATCTCCATTTGTCTGATTAATTAAGTTAATTTCAATTAAGTTTTATTTAGTCGATATCTGTAGGATGGGCCCCATATCATGGCACGCAGTGAGTTGTGAATATTTTATTGAATTGTGAAATATGTAAATTTAAAAAAGGACTTAATTAAAACATCAAGTGCATAAATTATCTTTCACCTAAAACACCTTTGTCAATTTTCATATCAATACTTTGTACTGATTTAAATATTTCAAAGAATTTCCGCTGCGATTATTTACGAAAGCAATTTTTTTCTTCAGTTTATTAATACATATCGAAAGAACAAATTTTAGCAGAGTTAAGTTAGAGTAAAAGTTAGATGTAACTAAAGTTGTGGGCTAGATAAAATATTTGTTGTATTTATAAAATTATGCTAATTCGTTGACAGAAGATCCATCTTATGTCATTTACAATAAGTCATGAAGGGAGAAATGTTGCCAAGCATATGAGAATTAGCACAAGTGATCAGTATATCCTTGGAAATAAAGTACTTCGAGAAAATTGTAGAGGGGCTTCTCTGTTATGTACTTTTTGGTAAAATATTTGATGCAATCGTTTCAGATAAACGGCACAAATATCTCCAAAACCGTTAGAGATAGGATAGGGAACCTATACACAGATTGAAAGAGAGTTTTAAATTTCTTAACTTCCAAAGTGAAAATATACTGGGTGTCCCATTTGAAATAACCAAGTTATTGCTGTTTAAAGTTGAGAGAAATATTCAGCAGTTTTTTTGAACACCCTGAACAATAATACTAAGTGACTACAAATATAACAATTTATAACTTCGAGGATCTAAAATACAAAGTTGCTTTCTTAAAATTATTTTTTTTATTGCTAATATTAAATTTCTACGCTAAGCCCGCATTTTCACTAGAATTGAAATATCTCACAAACAATAAGTCCTAGGTATGCAGAACCTTTAATAAAGTTCACCTATTTTTTTATGGTGCTTTAAAAAAATGCAGTAAAATCCAGGGTGTTCCATTAAAAAAATACATAACTTTGATATGGTGCGCTTTTTTTGGACATCCAGTATATTTCAAAAAAATTTTAAAATGTAGCCGTAATCAACCTACACGTACCCACCTAAACAGGTTTCTATAATATTTGCCGTTTGGACACTAGCGACAGAGGCGTTACTGGTGGCCCACCCTGTATAATATTCTATTTAGTCTAACCTTCGAATATCAGATTGATTTTTTTGTTACAAAAATCGTTTGAGAGACAAAGAGTTTCTGCCTATCAAGTCTACCACACTTTTATATAATTCTTTAGTGCGGAGTCATCTGGAACATATTAAGTTGTTTGAAACAGAAAAAAATTATAACTTTTAAGGTCCACAGTTATCGTCAGTTTAAGTGTTTACAGATTAAATACTTTAGAGTATTTTGTCGAACATTTATTTGGGTTACCTCCTACTACAACTAATTACGTTTTCCATTTTCCATTGATGAGAATGTAAGAAGTGTACAATTATCTTTTTTCGAATATAGACTTATTTATATTTATAGACAGATAATATGAATAAAATTACATGGCAAACATTACTTAATTTTAGGTATATTCAGGCTCATTCGTTTGTGTAGGCATTTTTAATTCATTAACACGTTCATGTATTTTTTTTACCAAATAAATGTTTATATTTACTAAAAACTATGGAAACGTTTTCTCTGTGATTTTGTTTTTCATTTTGAAATTGCTGCATATGTGTATTTTAAAAAATTGCAAGAGCTCTGTTATTGGAAACACATGTTTTTGTTGACCGGCCAAACTTGTAAACAAAAATAAAATAAATATTGGCACCATCTATTCCATTCCAAATATCAGTTTTTATTTTAAAGGTGACGAGAACAACAAATTTGTTCTGTCATATATGTTATTTGTTGATACCCACAAATAATGCTTTTATGTTAAATTACTTTATATCAGTTTATGCTGTGGAAGACCCAGAAACTATTCTTATGGAATATGTGCTCCTAAATTAGGCATTTCCCGGTATTTTTCATGGTAGACAATTTTACTTAAATGAAGAGCATCGTACTGCAATAAAATTCAGTTCCTTTGTCTCTTTTTCCATGTTTCTTAAAAAAATTAAGCTATTATTTTAGGTCTTTTTATTCTTCTGTAGAATATATTCCAATGTTCAAACGAAGTTTATGTTCAAAATTGTAGCAAAGTTAACTTCGCGTTTTCCATAATGTAAACAAAGTAACGCTATTCACACATCCTAGTTAGTAAAACATAAATATTGCGTGAGTCTAAGAATATTATTCTTGTATGCAAAGTTTGACAATGTTTCTTATTGAAGATACAAACAATGGTAATAACAAATATAAGTTATATATATGTTAAATTGAATGTAGAAAGGGCGCTGTATTCTAAATTGTTAGTAAGTTAGGATAGACGTAAACAATTAAAATATCAATACTATTTTATTAATGCAATTTTGTTTCCTTTTCATGCAGGAGCTATATCTGGTAAGTTTTTTACTTAGCAAGATATTGTTAGGCAGTAATGAAATAGTTTGCATGGCCGCTAGTATAGTTTAAACGGTTTTTTTGTTAGTAGCAGGCTTTTAGAATAGAATTAGAATTACATTTTTGTGCTCTGTTTTCAAAAAAATAACAGTCAGATTCGTTAAAATTACATTTTATGCTTTATGTAGCTTTTATAATATTACAACATGGTAAATTCTAACTCTGAGATTAGTTTTTGAACTATAAAATTGAAAATTATGTATAAAATTAAGTCTAACGCTTTTGCTGTCAAAACAGGTCGAAAAATTAATCTGACATTGTATTTTATTTTTGCGAAGTATATTTGGTAATAGAATAAGTCAGACTTCTCTATTTTGTCGGTTGAATCTTTAGATAAATATAACGCGTTGTGCGTTTTATCCTAGTATATATTGCAGCTGCCCTCGTTTTCTCAAGTGAGTATGTTTTTGTGAAATTTATGAAACCGGGTTAAAATTTAGGAAAAGTCAAGTTCTACGCTTGTGATAATAATGGTGATAAAGACATTATTTTATTTTGTTAAATTTTGCTTTAAGCAGAAGTATTTTTTGAATAGTGAAGATTGTTAAATTCTATTTTAGTTTTGGCAACCTAAGAAGTAAATTACACACGTTAGAATGTTAGATAATTAGGTCAGTCCTTAATTTTATATGCGATGTTCATTATGAAAAAAATTTCATTTATGTGAAAGGTGAACATGAGGGTCACATATTTTCATTAAAATCCCGTATAAAGCCTCCGAATATTTTAAATTTGCATGAAATATTTTCCTGACGTTGCGAAAGTAGGATACAGATGCGCCCAGGGCTATTCATGTTCGTAAATTAATTCGCTTGACTCTTTACAAAAAATTACTTTTATTTCCACGTACAATATTTTTTGAGATTTTATTTTCCATTATAACACTAATAATACCTTGCGGAATTTATTTTTGTAATGAAAGCGAATTTTAGATACTAAAATTCGTATATCAGGTAACGGAAGCGTCTTGGAAATTATTCTTTATATAGGGTGTCCCAATATTCCACGTTCATGGGACTTCGACCTAGTATCTAATAATTACACAGGCCGACAAAAAAAGATCAGGCCCATCATTTCTTATAGACTTTGATGTGCTAAAATCAAATTCGAAGAGTAAAAAAAATTCATAGTATAGATTTTTTATAGTCACAGGGAGAAGTTTATTGAATATAGAATATGCAGTTATAGTCCAATCGGTATCTGTTTTAAAAGTAGGTTGCAAGGATGATTCATATAGTAACGCCAATTTTTGTTGGAAATAGTTCTAAATATTATGTAAAATGATAATTGCGATACGCGCCTGCTGAAAAAGTTGTGCATAATTGTGAGTGCAAGAAAATTAAAAAAAAATTAAAATGGCGCGTTTTTTTCTATGTTGAAAAATCTCAAGCGTGTAATGTTTTTTAAGAATAGACTCACCTGACGTAACTAGGAGACATCCTCATTTAATTAAAATGTATTTATTTTATATGTTCGTTTATTTGATTTTTTTATTTAGTTGAGAGTAAAACATTGTTTAAGCAATTGTTAGTAATCATTTATTTGTAGCACTATTTAATTTTGACTTTGACATTTTGACTTTTGTATAAATAACAACAATCTTGTTTATACTTTTTTATATCTAATTTTGTAATTTTTTTTATTTAAGATTCCTATTTAATATTCCTTGCCTTCTTGCTTGAGAACTTTTAAATTTCTTTCTTGATATATTCAGTTCAAAGGTATAGCAAAAAGTTGGTAAATTTTCTTTTCGTATTCAATCTCTTAAAATTGGAGGACATTGGAAGTCTATTTTTTTTTGTTAATCGTTTTACGGGAATTTATGTTGGTGTTTACTTTCAACACAAAATAATGAGAAAATCGTATTTAAATGTGCTCCAAATTTCTAAATGAATATTGTTTTTATATTGCGTTAACTTTTTAAGTATGTATTAATATAGAAATTGGTATACCTACAATATTGAACAAGGTAGTTGATATCAGGAAAATTATTTCCTTAGTATAATTGTATCCTGTTGGGTTATGATTATTTAATATTTCTATAGAATAAACTATTTTCCCACTTTGTCATTTGTATTTTTCCTGATAACATAAATAATTAATTTTATACTTATTTTTTATTTCCGTTGAATTCTGATTTATATACAGAAAATAATAAGTAATTTTCATAATGCATAACTGTAGTAGAAGACAATCAGTTATTAATGCTAATACTAAATTGAATTGGAAGTGTTTTAAAACTTATTTTTGTGGATTATATTTCTTGGTCTAAATCCATAAAATGATACTTGTAATAGGTGTATTTCCGATTAAATTTAAAGTAAATTGCTTTTAATACGTACTTTAAAATTATTTAATAAAATAAATACTTTGTGTTTGTTTGGAAGAATTATATCAAACATATTTTCTACTTTTTAAATTAGACGGGAAATATAATTAAGCAATACTGAACCATGGCGTACTTTAATTCAATTCATTTTTATGTTTTTGTGTTGTATTTTTATGGAATCATTCCAGTTGCGGTTTCAAATTTTACGATATAAAAAGAGTAATTCATATCTTGGTTAGAGCCAAGTTTTCTTTTACTTTTTAAAACTTTGTATTATCTTTACCTTACCCTATTATTTATGAAGAACTTTAAGGGATTCATAAAAATAGAGTGCTGAACAGATTTACGTAATTTTGTTGTAGAGGGAAGCAATCTCTTAGAACTTTAATGAAATCAATAGAAACATACTTTAGTAAAATAAATAGAAATATACTATTGTATATACATTTAATATTAATGTTTATCTATAACAACAAATTTCTTTGCATATTGAGGTATTCCGTCAGTGGACAAGTGGATAAGCACTATGAAATACTATACTCTTACTATTTGTTTACGTTTCCAAAGCTATTTAAGAAATTCCGCAAATAAAAACTGAAAATGCCTCTTAGAATTAGTTTATAATAATAGTTCATGTCCTAGATAACAAAGTCACTTTGAATTCCTTTTATAGATATCTACGTGCTTTGTCATAAAAATAGGAGCCCACAAGGCCTTCTAGTTTTCCCTAATTTGCCGAACAAATTACTTATTACTCGAGAGACATCAGGACGCCGCATACGGCCTTATAATTGAAGTCCGTGTGTTCACAGCGCTTTTTTAATGCCAACAGTTGGCTGCAGTTTTATATTTCAGTGATCGATAAGGTACAGTTTTAGAACACTGCTATAACGTGTTACGTGCTTACGATGTTAATTTTATTGCTGTATCTTTAATTCCTTCATAATGTGTCTAGAAACCGACTTTTATAAAAATGAAACCTACAGGCACAATTTCTTTGAAAAAATATATTTCATTATTTGTTCCTCTTCTTTTATTTTATTTAAATTAATTCAACAAAACGTAATTCTAAAATTCAAGCAGTCTTTTTTGTTACCAAAAATTAAATTGGTTATGTAAAGAAATAATTCACATTCATCTAGTCATATTGTCAACATCCTTGACTTTGCTGTTTCGAAATATCACTTTTTCTAAAAGTGTCGTACATAATTTTGTTCCATTTGTAGGTATTAACTCCATTTACATCCCACCTAACACAGATAGTGACAAATACTAATATAAAAGTAATTATCAGTAGTAGTTCATGTGGCGAATAAGACTATAAATGACTCTTTGGAAGAGAATTTTTTCGTAAAAACCTTAAAATACCGTACGGGAAAGTTACTTTTCCGGCCTAGATTTGACAAACCTTTTGACGTCTTTGATTTATAGTTGTCATCTTGACGTTTCAGCAGAACATGCAATGTCAAATATTTTCGGGGGGTCGTATTAAAATAAAAACCGATTTGGTACTTCGCCAGTGGATGAAGTTAGTAATAAAATAACGAAAATATTCTGATTGCAATGAGCAATATTTTTGATAAATTAGAAAATAATTCGTCGGAGCTTTTGTCAAATCTGTTGTCATTAGGTAATATCTAGTTGAGCCCTTGGTACTCTTGGGTCTGCCTGGCAACAAGTGTTCGAAAAAAATTATTTTCAATTTATTCTTACTCCCTTGTGATACCTATTACTCGTGAAAATATCGATTCAACCAACACATGGATACATTAATGTCTGGTCAGTCACTGAACCTTGCGTGCAAAGGCGAAGTTTTTTTCCTATTATGTCTATTACACAGATGCTTTCTTCCGCATTTATGACTATCATTAGGTAGATGACAAGATAGTCGTTTGCCCTTCCCTTGATATTAGCCGCTAAATTAATTTAAAAGCTGTTGCTTTGTGGTGAGCAAGCAGCCCATACGATTATAATTTTTAGATTTTTTTTAGAAGAATTTACGAAACGAAGCTTCTAACAGAATCTGGTTCAGAATTTTAAAATCTATAATAAACTCTAAATTCATACTAAAAGACAATTTATATTTCTCAAAAACAGAGAGCGATAGGTTACCATAAGAAGGTGTTTGTTGTAAATGTGAAAAATATGTGCCCCTATTGATATCAGTTTTACTTACAACTTCTTGTAACATATTTTCAACTTGAGCAAACAAAAATTATTTTGGCCAATTAAATTGGTTTTTATATTCGTTATTCTCTTAAAAACCTCCGCCAAAAGGGAATTTTTATTTCAAATTGTCATTGAAAAAATAATGTTAATACTGTTTGTTTCAAAATTTAGCTATTTTATAATTGGCATGAGAAAATATTTGTGAAATTATATATTCATATGGTGTTATATATTAATGGATACATATCACGTTACATAATTAGGACCCTGAATATCCTGCAGTGCAGTGTTTTTTTTATTGTGTTCATTATACAGGGTGTCTCGGTACTTAATACAAAAAAGTCGAGTACAAATAGATGAAGTCAAAATAATATCAGTTCTTCATATACATTTTTTTCTTACACAACACAAGTTACGGGAACTCAAACATGAAAATTAAAAA